GTGTTTCTGTGTGTGTAAGGGATGCATTGTGTGTAACGGTTGCATTGCTTGTGTATGTGTGTCTGTGTGTGTAATGCATTGTGTGTGTTTCTGTGTGCAAGGGGTGCATTGTGTGTATGTGATGAATGTCAATCTCTCCTCCCGCTCCAATTTCCTTCTCCTCCTCCCAATTTCTCTTTCTCACCCCCCCTCCTAATTTCTCTCCCCCTCAATTTCTCTCCCCCCTCCTAATTTCTCTCTTTCTCACCCCCCTCCTAATTTCTCTCCCCCCCTAATTTCTCTTTCCCCCTCCTAATATCTCTTCCCCCCCTCCTAATTTCAATTTCTCTCCCCCCCTCCTAATTTCAATTTCTCTCCCCCCTCCTAATTTCTCTTTCTCACCCCCCTCCTAATTTCTCTCCCCCCCTCCTAGTTTCTCTTCCCCCTCCTAATTTCTCTCTCACCCCCGCCTCCTTTCTCTCTCACCCTCTTTCTCACCCCCCCTCATTTCTTTCACCCCCCCTCATTTCTCCTCTCTCACCCCCCCTTTTTCCTCTTTCTCACCCCCCCTTTTTCCTCTCACTCCCCCCTTTTTCCTCTCACCCCCCCTCATTTCTCACACACACCCTTTTTCCTCTCACTCCCCCTCATTTCTCACCCCCCCTTTTTCCTCTCACTCCCCCTCATTTCTCACACACCCCCTTTTTCCTCTCACCCCCCCTCATTTCTCACACACACCCTTTTTCCTCTCACTCCCCCTCATTTCTCACCCCCCCTTTTTCCTCCTCCCCTCATTTCTCCCCCCCTTTTCCTCTCCCCACCCCTCTCCCCCCTATTTCTCACCCCCACATTCTCATTTCTCTTACTCCCCCTCATTTCTCACCCCCATTTCTCACACAATCTCACCCCTCACTCTCTTTTCCTCTCACCCCCTCATTTCTCCTTTCCCTTTCTCACCCCCTCATTTCCCTCTTTCTCACCCCCCTACCTCCCTGTAGCGTGGCCGAGCCTAGTATAGTCCGCGGGTACAGGGAGCAGCTGTCTCCTGTACCGCCGGACTAACAGGAAGTGCACACAGAGTGTGCACTTCCTATTAGTCGGCGGTACAGGAGACACTACTCTCTGAACCCACGCGGATATACAGGGCTCGCACGCTACGAGGGAGCCCTGAGGGAGCGCTGGCCTTCTCCTGTCAGCCCTCTCAGGCTGCGCCCGGGCGGTGCGGTCCGCCCTCATGGATGCACCGCCCGGGCAAAGCTGCAGCCGCCTGAGGCTCAATACAGAGCGCTCGGGCTGCAGCATGGGGGGGGCGGGGGGCTGGCCATGGCACCCCCCACCCGGCTGGCACCCGGGGCGGACCGCCCCCCCGCCCCCCCCTTAGTACGCCACTGTCTTATTGAAAGCCAGGGGGTGTAACCAGGTTAATTTATAAAAGTGCCAATTTCTATTGAAATCTGCACCTTTTATTTAAAAAGTACACATTCTACACACATAAAGCACTTTGGCAAGCTAAGGTGTTTAATGGTCTACAGTGTCCCTTTAAATAACTCACTATGAAAAATAATTTTGTTGTAAGTAGTCTGTTATGGTAGATGGTTCCATTTTACACACTTAATAACAGTGGCTTCTGGTGAACTTTATTGTACTAGTGGAGTTTAAAGATGGAGGGGCACTAGATTCTACCCCCAGTATTTGACTGTGCCTTGTGACTTGTTGGGACCTACTAAATTACCACAAACACTAAATTAACCTCCATGTACTCGCACTCTGACCCAATGAGAGGGCTTGTCTTGTACAACACCATAAACCTGTAGATTCCATATTTGGGAAACAACAACCACATAAAAGAGGTTAGACTCCACCATCTGATTCTGTCATCCACAGAGTATGTGAGTGGCTGTGACAGTGTGTTGGGAAATAGGGTGGGGATGGCTGTGAAAAGGTGTGGGTAGGAAGGCTGTGAGAAGGTAGATGGGCTGTGAAAAGGTAGAGGGGCTATGAGAAGGTAGGGGCTATGAGACGGTAGGAGGGCTGTGAGAAGGTAGGTTGCTGTGAGAGTGTAGGGGCTATAACTTATTTTGGATGTTGGGTCACTGTATCATCCAGACAGTTCATCATAGCAAATTACAATGTTACTTGCCCATCAAGAAAATCAGCTTCCTTTCCATTCTCTATTGATGCAACTCTGGTTCACGGAAAAAAATGATACAGCCATGAAACGTCCGTATGGTGTTTTGAAGTTGTGGAATTGAGATAAGTCTCTGATCGCCCAAAATTTGGACGAATCATATTTCTTTGAATTCCAATGCACAACTCTACCTGTAAGTACCACTGAACTCAGCTTCAGCTCATTGGCTAAGAGCATCAGCTGAGATCTGTCATCTGATGTGCTAAGCCCTGCACTACTTGCATCACTGGGCTAGGTCAGTGAAGAGAGCGACCAACAAAAGACGAGGCTGAGTCCAGGTACGTATTTCAACCCATTTGCAAACAGTTTGACTACTTCCTTTTGGGAGGGTTTCAGGGCACTTCTAGCACCATAACCACTCCAAAGGTCTTAGAAATTATGGTACTTGTAGTGCGCCATTAAGATGATCAGTACCCAACATTACAAGTTACCGGAAAGTGTGAAATAGGTGTCTGCATTTTCTGATCCCCATCATGCCCCTAAACATTTACAGGAAGTCATGATAAATAAAAAATATTTGTTTTATTTTTAATAAAAAAATTGTCAAGCAGATATAAAAACATTTTAACAACTTTTTTTTTAAATCAGCAGACATGTTTATCGTAAATACATTATTTCACTGTTTTTTTCAAGACACGTCCATTTGACCAAGCTTTCCGTGAACGTTTTCAGCCTCTCTCCAGCAGATGCTGTTTTTTTCCGTACATCGTTACAGGGGCTCCATGTGGCAAGAAGGACAAAATTAATGAGAAAGAGGTCCCATCGGACATACTGTGTTACTGTAATCCCACCTCGGAGGTCAAAATTCACAATATCCTAGAATATATACATTAGTTTACATCACTGCATTTAAACCATAAAAGTTCCCTGGAGTAAAAGCATAAGCCACTCAAGTTCTTTTTTCAGAAACATGAACCAAAATAGCCATTTATTTATTATGCATAGTAGCCTTGATTGCCAGACACAAAATCTCTCTCTAGCATATGAATGGCTATTAATATATAGCAGATTTATAGCCGTACATACTAGGAATTGTAGGCATGTGCTCTCTAACATACAGACTTCCATTTGCTTTCACTTCTGTCTGACTTCATTAACTTTTAATATAGTATAATATATATATAGATAATTCCAAAATAAATGCAGTATTGCAATATGCAATGATATATTTTTATTGTATTAGCATAATATTTAAAAGACAACCTTTCAAGAGGTTTTGCTCTTTTCCTCGGGTTTGAAGCAATACACACTGATTATACTGGCCACTATTGCTTCAGACCTGAGGAAGAGAGGAAAACTCTTGAAAGCTTGTCTTTTAAGTATTACCGTATATACTCGAGTATAAGCCGAGTTTTTCGGCACATTTTTTGTGCTGAAAAAGCCCCACTTGTCTTATACTCAAGTCAGTGTCTGTATTATGGCAACTTACATTGCTATAATACAGACCAGGGCCGCCGGGCTCATTACAAGCCCGCCGGTCCTCTTGGGGGCCGGAGCAAGATGTTACTTACCTTTACAGCAGTTCCGGTCATCTCCGTTCACCTCCCCCGTTCAGTTCCCTCGTTCAGCTCCCTGTGTAAATCTCGTGAGACCCACGGCCGTCAGAGCGTTGCCACGGGTTACCATGGCAATGCTCCGCACACCACACAGACCGCGAGATTTACACAGGGAGCTGAACGGGGGAGGTGAACTGAGCTGCTGTAAAGGTAAGTAACAGCTTAGTACACACCACTGGACCACCAGAGAATAATATAGGGACATAAAAATAAAATTAAACATAAATATTAAAAATTAAAATAATAAAAATATTATAATAATAAAAATATTAAAATAATAAATAATGCCCTCCACCCACTCAGTTTGTGTATATCACACACTACACAAACACACACACACACACACACACACTGCATTCATACAAACACACTCTGCATTATATACACACACTGCATTCATTATATACACACACACTGCATTATATACAGACACTGCATTCACACACACACACTCTGCATCATATACACACACACTGCATTCAAACAAACACACTCTGCATTATATACACACACACACACACTGCATTCATACAAACACACTCTGCATTATATGCACACTGCATTCACACAAACATACACATTCTGCATTTATTATATACACACTACACATATACACACACTGCATTCATTATATACACACTACACAAACACACACACACTGCATTCATTATATACACACTACACAAACACACACACACTGCATTCATGATACACACACTGCATTCATTCACACACACACTGCATTCATTATATACACACACTACACAAACACACACTGCATTAATTATATACACACACTGTAAATAAATATTCAAATAATATAATTTTATTGGGATCTAATTTTATTTAGAAATTTACCAGTAGTTGCTGCATTTCCCACCCTAGGCTTATACTCGAGTCAATACGTTTTCCAAGTTTTTGGGGGTAAAATTAGGTGCCTCTGCTTATATTCGGGTCGACTTATACTAGAGTATATACGGTATGTTAGTCCAATAAGAAAGGTATCATTTCATACTGCAATACTCTGTATTTTGGCACCTTGTCTACTTGTCTGGCAAGCGAAAATTTAGCCCTGGCAAGTAGAAATGTATCCCTGGTGTATATGCTATGGCTTGCAGTGGCAATTATCCAAGACCCCCCAGGAGTAGTGATGTCCCGAACGGTTCGCCGAACGGTTCGCGAACGGTTCGCGAACGGTTCGCCACAAACGGTTCGCCACAAACGGTTCGCCACGGACTCATCATTGAGTAAACTTTGACCCTGTACCTCACAGTCAGCAGACACATTCCAGCCAATCAGCAGCAGACCCTCCCTCCCAGACCCTCCCACCTCCTGGACAGCTCACCAAGAATGCAGCTTCACAATGAATGTAAAATGGATGCTGTCCAGGAGGTGGGAGGGTCTGGGAGGGAGGGTCTGCTGCTGATTGACTGGAATGTGTCTGCTGACTGTCAGGTACAGGGTCAAAGTTTACTCAATGATGAGTCCGTGGCGAACCGTTCGCGAACCGTTCGGCGAACCATTCGGGACATCACTACCCAGGAGCCTTCCCCAATACATTACAAGATTATTTACTAAAATGTGAATTGTTGAGAACCTACCGTATTTTTCGCTCCATAAGACGCACCTCACCATAAGACGCACCTAGTTTTTAGAGGAGGAAACCCAGAAAAAAAAATATTCTGAACAAACTGTTCCATAGTGTTTCTTACCATGGGACAGTTTGTTCAGAATATTTTTTTTTCTCCCCTGTCCCATAATGATCTTTGACCCCCCTTTCCTCTGTCCCATAGTGATTGTTAACCCCCCTTTCCTCTGTCCCATAGTGATTGTTAACCCCTCCTACCCTGTCCCATAGTGATTGTTAACCCCTCCTACCCTGTCCCATAGTGTTCTTTAACCCCTCCTCCCCTTGTCCATTAGTGTTCTGATCCCATAGTGTCCCCCCTCCCATTGTCCCATAGTGCACTTTCCCTCCCATAGTGTCCCCCCCTGCCCTTGTCCCATAGTGTCTCCCCCTCCCCTTGTCCCATAGTGTCCCCCCTCCCCTTGTCCCATAGTGTCTCCCCTCCCTTTCTCCCATAGTGTCCCCCTCCCCTTGTCCCATAGTGTCTCCTCCCCTCCCCTTGTCCCATAGTGTCTCCTCCCCTCCCCTTCTCCCATAGTGTCCCCCCTCCCCTTCTCCCATAGTGTCTCCCCTCCCTTTCTCCCATAGTGTCCCCCTCCCCTTGTCCCATAGTGTCTCCTCCCCTCCCCTTGTCCCATAGTGTCTCCCCCTCCCCTTGTCCCATAATTACTTACCTGTCTTGGAGCGTGGGCCGGCTTCACAGCGTGCTCCGCGGTCCAGGAACTTCTATTTCAGGTTCCGGTGGGACTGAAAGGAAGTGTGCACACTCAGTGTGCACACTTCCTTTCAGTCCCGCCGGAAACCGGAACCTGAAATAGAAGTTCCTGGACCGCGGAGCGCGCTGTGAAGCCGGGCCACGCTCCAAGACAGGTAAGTAATTCTTCACATTCGCTCCATAAGACGCACAGACATTTCCCCTCACTTTTGAGGGGAAAAAAAGTGCGTCTTATGGAGCGAAAAATACGGTAAATTGAATTCAAAGTGACTTTCACAGTTTAGGCCACAATATGAAAATATAGATAACTTGGAAAGATTGACCATGTATTGACTATGTTGGACTAAATTTTGAAGTACTCTTTTGAATTTGTTATCAACAATTCACACTTTAGTGATTACCAAGTAAGTATTCTTCCTTCCATTTTATAATCCAGGGATTGGAAAAAGGTAAGAGGCGGTGGGCAATGTCCACCCACACCCATTGTTAATCTCCCACCCATCACCCATAGGTGAGGGTTGTAAGGGGAAGCTTTTCCAAGTTCCTTTCACATTTTTCCCAGATGTACAGTGGATGGGGTACAAAAGGAATTAATCAATTTGGCTGCCCAACCAAAGACTTTCACAACATTTCAAGGAGAAAGCAAAATAAATATAGGAGTTAGATAAAAAAAAAAAAAAAATAATGGTACAAAGTTAAAGTTGTACGTAAATTGGTCTCAGTTCACTAAATATTAGCAAACTAAAAGCGGATAATAATATGACAAGATCAATTGTCTAGTAACTGGTTTAACTCTGAATAGAGGAACAGTGCCAGGGGAGCCCAGACAATTGAAAGAGATCAAATAATTATAGCGCCTACCGTGAAAAATCTCCCCAATAAAATGCATGAAAATAGTTACACAAACTGCTAATATGACTTTGCTAGACCTAATGATACTTTTAGTAGACATGTGCAATTCGTTTCGTTCGTATATTCGGATGAATTTCGTGAAATTCAGGCATTCGGATGCTTACAAATGTCCGAATTGACGATCCAAGATAGTCTATTAGAGTATTAGGCAGGGGGCTCCCAGTGCCAGGACTGCCACCACAACCACTTACACATCTATAGGGCTCCCGCCCCCCAGTGCCAGGACTGCCACCAGAAGTTCTGAAGTGCCAAACCAAATGCCGTTGGTCCAAATTGCCAAAGCAGACAATTTTTTTTTATAAACTGAATTTCCGAACCGAACCACATTTTTTGCCCATGCACATCCCTAACATTTAGGCATCAGGAGAATTTCCATTCTGTTTCACACAAGTGGACTGGTAAGTTGTAGTGTGCCTGCTGACGTTATAGTATGTCAATAAATAAAGGTTGTTTTTTAATCTATTACTACACTGTTGCGTTTTCCTTTTTTTGATCTTCTCTTCCTATTTATTTTTCTGTCATTTTTGATCACCGACTCATTGTCTCCCATGGTGTATTGCATTCCATTTTATACAAGTCCAAGTTGACCTCCAATGCCTGGATTTTGCAGTCTGATTGGCTCTGTATGCATCTGGATGGTGTTGCCCTGTTCTGTACACAATAATTCAATCTACAATTAATAACCCTGTTAGTGTTTTATCCTTTTGGTGAGGGTAAAATCTCTAGTACTAAGTTTAGTAATAATAACATTAGTAGCCTGTATTTGTCTTACCTCATTAAATAAATCAACATAGTGTTACATCTTACTTATCCGGCCCACAGTAAGTCTTGTGTGTCCTAACTTACACAATAACATACCTGGCTATTGCTAAGGGACATTTCAGAAATATTGGTATTTAATAAAAGAAATAGAATGCTTTGTGTGCCTATCTGCATTGTATATATATTATAAAATCTGTTAATACCATTAAAAATGTGTGAGTTTATATTTGCATTGTGACAATACCGTTTTTCACCAAAATTATTACGTCCCCCGAAAATAAGCCCTAGCTTTTTTTTCAGGGGATGCTCGTAATATAAGCCCCACCCGAAAAATAGGCCCTAGTAGAGATCGTCGCTAGTTTGCTAATCTACGTTCGGGGAATTTTCCCCAAACATAGATTCGCAGCATTCCATTTGCTAGTGAACTGATCTACGTTCAGAGGAATTCCCCCGAACGTAGACCTGCTTTCTTGCACGTGCTTGCTAGTGCATTCTCACTTATTGTTGAATTCGCTTTATGATTGTGTCGTGGGAACGGAACCCGGTTGGTAAGTGAGGACCACGTGTAATATATAAAAATAAGACATCCCCCGAAAATAGCGCATTTTTGGAACAATAATTTATATAAGACCCGGTCTTACTTTCAGGTAAAAACGGTATGTAGTTGTGGCACTTTTGTATATTTAAAAAGTTGTTTAAAACAATGGGCAGTTTTGTCACAATTTAGTCTCTCCACAACCATATTAAAACTTAATTCACGTATACACTTATATAACTAAGAAATTATCAAAGTCTTTTATAACCCTGTTATGAACAGTGTTTTACTTTGATATAATGCATGCGAATATTCTACAAGAATGTTCCATTTTCACATCACTTACCTAATAGAACTGGCATGTAATTCCATATTGGTATCTGTATTGGTGTCTGTTTCTTCTCCCTTAAGTGGGTTAAGTAAAATACTACTCTATTCTTCCCAGGGGGGCAGTTTGCCTTTCCTTTTAAATTGAGTGATCTTTAGATTTCTGATAAAGGGGGTCTGCATTGCGCAAAGTGCTTAGAGTTGGCTTTTATCTCCAAATGGTAAATAAGACTGAAAGAAAAAAAAAATACATCCATTAACAATCAATATGACTTGTGAGATTTCATTCCCTCATGAAATATTTTTTTTAAATGTGTTTATTTTTGCTCACAGCATTTCAGATCAGAGCTGTCTGAAGCTTTTTTTCTCTGTTTGAGATTTGAAACCCAAAGCATTGCACAGTGCCAATGGTAACATTTTAATTGTATCCTACAATAGAAAGAAATACGCATAGGTCAGCTGATCTCTCAACCAATGAGCTCAAGAGAGATCCCTTGGTTAGGAACTGCCGTCTCTCTGGCATTAGTATTGGAGCAGAGTCTGGCAGACAGCTGTTAAGAAGTAAAACTGCTAATAAGGATTGACAAAGGGGTTAAATGAGATAGAAACATAGAAACATAGAATGTGACGGCAGATAAGAACCATTTGGCCCATCTAGTCTGCCCAATTTTCTAAATACCTTATCTTATAGTTAGGATAGCTTTATGCCTATCCCACGCATGCTTAAACTCCTTTACTGTGTTAACCTCTACCACTTCAGCTGGAAGGCTATTCCATGCATCCACTAACCACTCAGTAAAGTAATACTTCCTGATATTATTTTTAAACCTTTCTCCCTCTAATTTAAGACTATGTCCTTCTTTTAAATATGGTCTCCTCCTTTACTGTGTTGATTCCCTTTATGTATTTAAATGGATCCTTTAACCTTTCCTGGTAAGTTTTTTCCCGCAATTCATGAACCAGTTTAGTAGCCCTTCTCTGAACTCTCTCTAAAGTATCAATATCCTTCTGAAGATAAGGTCTCCAGTACTGCGTACAATTTTCCAAGTGAGGTCTCACCAGTGTTCTGTACAATGGCATGAACACTTCCCTCTTTCTACTGCTAATACCTCTCCCTATACAACCAAGCATTCTGCTAGCATTTCCTGCTGCTCTATTACATTGTCTGCCTACCTTTAAGTCATCAGAAATAATCACCCCTAAATCCCTTTCCTCAGATGTTGAGGTTAGGACTCTATCAAATATTCTGTACTCTGCCCTTGGGTTTTTACGTCCAAGATACATTATCTTGCACTTATCCACATTAAAATGTCAGTTGCCACAATTCTGACCATTTTTCTAGTTTACCTAAATTATTTGCCATTTGGCTTATCCCTCCTGGAACATCAACCCTGTTACATATCTTAGTATCATCAGCAAAAAGACATACCTTACCATCAAGACCTTCTGCAATATCACTAATAAAAATATTAAAGAGAATGGGTCCAAGTACAGATCCCTGAGGTACCCCACTGGTAACAAGTCCAAGCTTCGAATATATTCCATTAACTACAACCCTCTGTTGCCT